TGTTTACGCTAGCATCTTTTAGAAAGGTTTGATAAAACTTGAATATGTTGTTTTAGATGGAACTTAATGGCGCAAATGCAGTACTATCTGTAGCAGATGGTGTTGCCTTTTTAATGTAACTATTGCTCTTTCTAACTATTGGAGGTACTCCTAGGCAGTTATACTTTAAGCCTGTTTTTTAAGACATGTCTTGAGTTGTATAGTAAGCGAATCATTCTTCCTTTGGAGTTTATGAATCGTTACATAATTATTTCGTAAGGACACAGCTATAATGTTACATGGATATGTTGACTAAGACCCGAATGTGTTTGATTCTTTCCTTTCCAGCTAAACCAGTTTAAATTTCATAGACAATAACCTTGCATACAAAATAGTTTTAAGTATGCAAGTCTTTTTCAAATACAGACTAATAAGTACCGAGTAATACACCAGTTGTAACCACGCCTGGACATCTATATATTTATCTTGTTCTCATGAACTCTATGAAAACAAGAACTTTGATTTAATTGGGGGAAAAAACGATGATACATCAAGTTGTTTCCAGTTTAATTGTTCCAATTTATGGATCAAAGCATGTACACTTACGTTTTCAACATATATACCTTAAAAAAAGAATCTGTAATGCTGTCTGTCATGCATTATAATCTTAGAATACAGACTTATTGGCAGGGAAAACAACAATAACAGGTAATCAGTTTTTACCAGGAAAGCCTAAATTGTTGTTTTTTTTTGTTTTTTTTAAGACTACCAAATCCACTTTGTGAATATAGTTAGTCTATGGCTTTGAAATGGTTGGTATGAGCACACCTTAACAAAGAAAACCTGATTTACTACAGTCTTCATTTGGGCTTGGGCATTGTGACGTAAACTGTAGGCAAACATGTATGGGAATGGTTTCAAACTGCAGGTGTTGTTTTTAGGCTCAGCAAAGGTCTACTGTAGGGCTGCAACAACGAATCGATGAAATCGATAAAAATCGACTTTTAAAAGCGTTGGCAACGAATTTAATCATCGATTAGTTGTGTCGCGCGATTAATGCGTCATCCGCCGCCGCCGTCATCCCGGGGAAGAAAAAAAAATATGGCGGAGCGAGTCAGCGCCGCAGTTGCAGTGTTGCCAACTCAGCTACTTTTCAGACCCCTCCAGCGACTATTTTTTTTAAAAAGCTACTAGCGACAAATCTGGCGACTTTTTACGGTGTCACTGGCGGCTTTTGGAGACTCTTGCGTGAAAGCATGTATCGTTCCTACTCTTCTCCTACAGCGGCAGCTGCTGCCGTGGGGCGCCTCCCCCATCCCAACGCCTTTCTCCCTCTCCCACAGGAATCCCTCTCAGCGCTGCAGTCAGAGCCGCAGGATTTTAGTGAGGAGTTTACCCTCAGCGTTCAGACTGCAAATGAAGCGCGCATGCCCCGGGATTGACGGCGCAAATTGATCACAATAATTAAAATAGCCTGCGCTTTGTAAAGTGAAAAAAGTCGTAACATGCAACTTTTGTAAAAACAAATGAACATGGCACGGAAGCACCACTGTTATGACGCAGCACCTGAAAAGAAAACACGTTGGAGCCTTTGATGGCAGTGAAGAGAGCTGATCAGCAGGATGAGTAACCATGTTTTTTTTCATTTAAAAGTGGGGAAACGTAAGTTAGTTTCTCAGGTAGCTCATCTGATGCTTTCCTTAGCTTGTTAGTAGGTTACAGACAGTGATAAGGTTGGCTACTTATTTTACTTTTAATTTCATTTGAATTAGCTTAAGCAGCGTTTATATTTTCTTTATAAATAAATTAATTTGCAAATTATGAGGGCAAGGCTTTTAAAGTTTATATCTTCTGGCAAAGATAAAGTAAAGAAGATCCTGCAATTTATGGAAGTAAAGCAGAATAAAATCCAGCAAGATCAGTAATATGTCAATTAATTATCTGCCACATTCCCATGTAAATATCTGTCTTTGGAGGATGTGTTTTTTACCACCCCTAGTTCTCTCATTTTTATTCCAAATACAATTTATAATTTGAATCACAGGGCTTCTGAAATCATCAAAACACCCCCTCTGACATTTTTAACCTCATCAACTTGAAACTGGTCCAAAAGGCAGATAACATGTTGGTCTTTGTTAAAGCCACAGAGAGTTTTAGTGTGTTTCCATGGAGATGTGAGACGTTTTGCCATGGCGATATTTGTGGCTCTCATTTCCACATAGATCTTTGCAACTGCACGAAAATGGTGCAGTCCAACTCCACACAGGAATCCAGCCTAGTATTTGGTGGCTGTGGCTCGACTTCTCTACAGTGCCCCCAAGAAACTCAAAAACAACCAGCTCCATGCCTTTGCTGAGGTTATTAAACTTGGGACACGTGTGTTACCCACCAGGACCTACCAAAAAGTCTGTTGGAGCAAGGGTCCCAACCCAACAGGAAGTCTGCTATTTTGGATCAAGGTTGCCATTTTTCTCCAGTTACTTGTGTTGTATCTGAGCGAACTCCCACTAGAACTTTAGAGTTATATACTTCCAATGCATTGACCTAAGGCATGGGGGGTTAAAAGTAAAAAAAAAAAAAGTACATTAAAGTATGTGGGTGTGGCCAAGCTTGGAGGAATGTTTTGAGAATTATAAAATTTGCTGCACTTGTGTAACCCATCAAAACCAACAAAGGTCTCTTAGAGCCATGGTCCAAACCCCACACGAAGACGGCCATTTAGAATCAAAACCATCACTTAGCTTTTTTATTTAGCTTCATACAAAATTGGTATGTAGATTTAGAAAGAATATCATTATTTCATTGCAAGTCATTCACAGATATTGTCAGATATAGCATATTTTGCAAATATTGTGCAGCTTTTGTTTGTATTATATATGTTTGACTAAAGGTTAAAATGTCTTATTTTTTACCTGTACATCATCACCCCTCATCCACCCCATTTGTTTCATCTTATACATTTATTGTTTTTGATGTTTCGTTTTACTTATTAAAACCCTGATTGACAACCAAAGCCTTTTGTATGAATTTGAAAAATAATTCTTGAATTAACCTATCCTATCTTGAAATACTTTAAATGCATTATTTAGTCAGCCTAGTATTTTATCTCATTAAACTGAAATAATTAATATTTTGTAAAACCATATAACACAGACTCTTCAATTTTGTTTTTGTCAAACAGCAATGCTTGTTTTTCCTTTTTCCTAGTTGTTTTGAAGTTCAGTTTAGCATTGTTTTTGTAATGTTAAGATGCACATCCTTTTGTTTTTATTATTTGTCTGATTTTCATTCCTTCCATCACCTCTAACGTGTTGTTTTCCCCCCTCCTTGGCTTATGTTGGTGCTCCAGAACCAACAAAACGTATGCTTTCCTTCCAAGGGTTGGCCGAATTGGCGCACCGGGAGTACCAGTCAGGAGATTTTGAGGCAGCTGAGCGCCACTGCATGCAGCTTTGGAGGCAGGAGCCTGATAACACAGGCGTGTTATTGCTTCTGTCTTCCATCCACTTCCAATGCCGAAGACTTGACAGGTATCCCTTATACAGTCCTTAGTGAACACCAAACATGTGGTGTGGTGGTAGCTGTCAACAAATGGGGCTTCTGGGTTTGTGTGCACTCAAGTAATCTGGAATATACTAATCTAAGTACAGTAACGAAGTATTTGTACTTCGATACTTGACACCTCTGCTATACATTCTTTCCCTCATTTAAAGGTAATGGTGGCTTCCTTCTGCTCTTTGTTTATGATAAAGCAGACCAGAGTCCTGAAGCTTGTAGCTTCAACAGTCTCTTGCATTTAACATTTTAGCAGCAAGGTTTTGTTTTTAGTTTTTTTTTTTTTTTCTCAGGTACTAGATTATAGAACTTTTACCTTGGGTAGTTTTTAGTTTCATAAAGTTTTAGCAGCAGTCTTTTATATATGTGGTTCTCTAGAAATGCAGATCAGAAACCATGTTAATATATGTTGTGATTTTAATCACACATGCTTTTGTGTGGAACATCAAGTCTTTTTTTTTTCTCTTGTAAGAAGGGACAGTTTATTAGCCTTAGTTTGACTGACTGTGTTTACCCTGAGTGAAGATGTTTTACCTTCCCCACCCAGTCAGCAGGATGTCTTTTTTTTTTTTTTTTTTTTTTTTTTCTAGCACCTCATGTCAATGACGTTTATACAAAATAAATATTATGTAGAGCAGTTTCAACATGTTCTCTATGTGTAAACTAACCAGCCCACATCTATGATGGATCGTCTGTCAAGGAATTGTCTACCAGAAGCCAGCGATGTAGATGCCATTTAAAGGTTCTGGGGTGTTTTATTTGCTGCACATAATATTTTTCTTTCAAGCTGTAATGCTTAAAAGCCAGCTGGATGATGTGTGCATTGTCTGCCTCCTTATTTTAACATAGCAGAAGTAGGTGAAAGCAGCTTAAAATGTTGCAGCTCTTTGATTCAATCCATCAGAGTACAAGTTGGGCTTCTAGGGGCCTAATTTTACAGCTTCAAAACAAGTTTCTTATTTTTCCCTTCTTATACCACCTTTTCTAGCAAAGACTTCTGGAGTCTTACTATTGTTTTCCTCCATTTGCTTCCCAGGTCCGCTCACTTCAGCACCCTGGCCATCAAACAGAACCCCATGCTTGCAGAGGCCTACTCCAATCTGGGAAATGTGTACAAGGAGCGTGGGCAGCTGCAGGAAGCTATAGAGCACTACCGCCATGCACTGAGGCTCAAGCCTGATTTCATCGATGGATACATCAACCTGGCAGCAGCCCTGGTGGCTGCAGGAGACATGGAGGGAGCTGTGCAGGCTTATGTGTCTGCATTACAGTATAACCCAGTAAGACAAACAAAATTAGCTTTTCCCCAAAACATAATCTATTATTTAGTTCAGTTATAAAAAAAAAAAAAAATCTGACTTCCTCTCCAGGATCTCTATTGTGTGCGTAGTGACCTGGGTAACCTGCTGAAAGCTCTTGGGCGTTTGGAAGAGGCTAAGGTACGTTACAGTGGGTTGGCTCCGATATATTTGTGTTCATGTTTTGTTTTAGGTTTTTTTTTTATTATTTTTTCTTATTTAAAGTGTCTAATAAGGCCAAGTATAGATGCTCTTTATGTTTTAAGATTTTGAATTATTAAAAATTCCCTTTGAAGAACACTTTCAGCTCATGAAAGCTAATGCAGAGAGCTTCTCTACCCAGCTTGGCATAGTCCGTTGGAAATTTTGGACTGTAATCAGTCAGCATTCATATAAAGCAATCAGGTTTTTAACAGTGACACTAAAAAAATTACATTTTAGACAGCCTCATTTTGTTTTTTTCAGGCAGCTTTAGATATCCGTTTTGTCCCACTGCCTTTTGCTGTACTCTGACCTTTTAGTAAAGGTCAGCCCCTGCCCTTTTAGGAAGAAAGGCTGGAGTCTTTGAATTCACCCAACAGATCCAACCTCGGCCCTGCATTTTCATGTGGTCCTAACTGGAGGAAAAAATGCTGGCTCGGTCTTGGAAGATAACATGAACTGATGAGAAGCTAGATTATCTTTGAAGTGCAAAAAATAAGATGGTTTATAACCTAATTGCTATACTCCTGTTTTGTATGTAAAATACCAAATGGTTAACTGTTGATGTTGGTTTGCTGTCTGTGGGTGTTTTTATTCCCCCCGGAGTTGCCATCTAATTTTCTTTGCTTTACAAAATAAAAATTTTTCTAGGGGGGTGGCTACCTTGGTTGGGTCAGATCTGGAGATATGGAGTTGTCCTGCCGGTTACAGGCCATCTTATTTCGTGCTAGAGGGGGGTAAAGGAGTGGGGAGGAGCACCAGGGAGTCACAACCTCCTCCGCTCTGTCGCTCCGCCCCCCGCGCGCCTGCTGAGGTTTGGTGGGGTTTACGCGCTCCGAGTTGTCTTCCTGACCATCCAGCCTAACCTTATCTGCACTCCCATCACAAACACACACCATTTGTTCATTCATGCACTCACAAAAATCTGATTTTGGAAATGAAATACAGATGGTTATCTTTTCTGATAACCATCTTCTTCAGATAATTCCACTTTAAAATGGCTGAAGTAGCGTCAAGCAGACAGCTCTCTATCTGTACCCCACCGCCTGCGTCAGATGCTTGGTTAGAAAGACAGAAACGTGCGCAGCAACTGCGATGACCTCTTTATTTCAGAACTGTGGAGGCTTCTAGATACAATAATTAATCCACAGACTCTTTTTCTCCACCCATTGGCCAGGATTCAGGAAAGAAGGCCAGGATAAAGAAAACAAAGTTTGAAATAGTTCATGAAAATGCTAGAAAGTTAAAGACAAGCAGTACATAATATTTCTTCCCTCTTTAATTATGTATCAATATTCCCAAAGAAATGGGATCAGTTCATATGGGAAAGATCAAGCCAGTAACTGCCCTCCTGTAAGATGATTTAAAAGCTAATTCTAAGGTTAACTGGAAGTCTGACCTCATGTCACCGATTGAATGTTCACATGAAAGCCTTTCTTCCCTGCCAGTTATCCTGTAAGCATTCCCTTTGTTTTCTTAGAAATGCTACATCCACTGCATGGCTGAAAACTGAGAATAGCATTAAGTTTTTGTTTGTTGTGTTTTGGTGTTTTATTTCCATATTTTAAAAGAATGTATTTTTTGAAACCTTTTACTAACGATCTTGTTTTCTGATTTTGTCTCTTTTGGTTTTTTCCACAACTGATACTGTTATTTAGAAGGTTTCAGGTGGGTGACACTATTCCTGCGTAGGTGCCTGGCGGAAAGGAACACTAGGGCAGCCTCAGTCCTCTCCTCTTCTTCCAGCCAGCTGCGACCGCCACTCTGACAAAGTCCAAAAATATGGTAACGGGTTTGTAAATGCCAACAAAAGAAAAACAACCTCACTTCATGCTTGAGCTCCTCTTTCTTGTGGCTTCCTTTGAAGAGCAAAAAGAATCATAAGTAACATAATTCACAGTAAGCATTTATGCAAATAAGCCATACTAATTACCCAGTATTATATTAAATAAAAAGAGACTTGAATATGGAAGCTTATAAACGTGTTAAGAAAAGCAAACTAGTAAGAACCCTCTAACTCTTATATATTGGTTATTGTTTTTTTTATTTTGTTTTTCCCTTCTTTACTTGGAGTTTCAGCATTCTGATGATGCAGATATTGCGCTGTGAGTCTGCAGCGACGCAGGGGCTGCGCAGCGATACCCTTCAAGTAACCAAAATGGCGGAAAGCGCAAGCATGCTCACCCTTATCCCCTTTCATTCCCTTTGGCCTGTTGGTTGTGGACCTCTCCCCACTCAAACCAGCCTCGCCCTCAAGCGCACCCAAATTTTCAGTCATAATCAGCTTACAGAAAAAGACTTTTGTCTCCAGAATTTCTTATATATTTTCTCTTCATTTTCGATCCTCCTTTTCTTTCTGACATCCTTGAAAAATTTACACTGAAACCATTACAGCCCCATTCTTTAATGATTAATCTTCTGGGTGCCAGGCATGGGCTAGTCTGGTGTTGCAGTTACTCTGCCAGGGGTTCGTGGTCTGCAGCTGTCCCATGTGGCCAATAGGCAAGCGCAGCGGCGAGTAAAACCTTTGCCAGGCGCAAGGTCAAGCAAGCGGCGATAAGCGGTGCATTGTGGTTGTGGCAATAGAGCCACACATCGCGCCTGCGATTGTTGCGCATGCTTTACAGGGACCATCACCTGCGCTAACTGCCCTGCATCCACGGTTGTGAGGTTTTATACAACATTAGTGTTTATTTTCCTTAATGCTTCAATTGGTTGACCTATAAAAAATTGTTTGAGGTGAAAATAGTAATGTCGCTAAATTAAATAAATAATATTTCCATAACTGATGGATGAGGGCCTACGTGTAGGTGTTGGTTGGATCAGCGCAGCGTAGGAAAAAGCAATGCAGCTTTGCGCGGCAGACTTGCGCCAGCGAGCCCATGCTGCAGACTCACTTTTTGCCTTCTTGGAGATCAGACACTAATTTTTTTCTCTCTTCCCTTTTTGTTTTTTCTTACTTTTATTCTCAATCTATTTTATTTTACAATCCCTCCCCGCTCTACCTCTTGTCCTCTTTCCTGTGGTTTTCACTGTAACCCAACTGAAGGCTTGTTACCTGAAAGCCATTGAGACTCAGCCCAACTTTGCCGTCGCTTGGAGCAACTTGGGTTGTGTGTTCAATGCCCAGGGAGAGATATGGCTGGCCATCCATCATTTTGAAAAGGTAACAGTGATATTAATTATTGTCAAATAGTGTTTGATTAGAAATTATTGTAAAAGATGAAAGCTTCAGAAATATATCGGTTTTCTTTTAGAGTAAGTCTATTAAGAACAAAACCTTTTGAAAGCTGTCCTGACCTCTACTTTAGAGCCTTTTTAATTTAAAACAGTAAAATGCTATGAAGCTATACGGCAATTTTTGTGTTATGTTTTCTTACGAATAAATGCTGTGCTTTAAAAATTAAAGCACTGATTTGACAAATGTGAGAATCAAAAACTTAAACGTAAAAAGTCGATGCGAATAAAGGTAGAAGTTTGCTTGAATTAGGTCAAATTGAACTTATTTCATCATTAGCAGTACATACAATGAGACATTTTGACTATAAATGTAAAGTCGTATCAAGAAGGTCTTAAAACCATTCAGTGTTGTCTAAAAAATGAATTCATAAACATTCTTTAACTCTGATTTTAGATATTTTGTGTTGCTACTTTTAATGCTTAAATAAATATTAAAAAATGTTTTTTATTTTTTTTTTTGTAGGCAGTGACTCTGGACCCGAACTTTCTAGACGCATACATCAACTTGGGAAACGTTCTGAAAGAAGCCCGCATCTTTGATAGGTGAGTCTAAAAGGCTATACCCTAACCTGCGGTTTTGACTCTAACAAATAGAATGAGATGTAGTGAGCTGTTGTCAAGCTACTTCTAATTATCATCTAGTGAAGTGGCAGCTTGGTAATATCCAAATTCATCCAGTCTGGAAAGTAATAAAAGTCAAATATAAAATAGGACCTACATTACTAGAATTTAAATTTGGTCTAAAACTTAACCTAGCTCAGCATAAAGCTAATGGTTTTTAAATTGTCAACATTAGCTTGCGTTTGTCTGCAGTGAATGTTTGCTTTTTTGTACATTCAAGTGTTCAGAGAGGACAGATAAGCTGCCATTTTATCCAATGTTGTCATTTTTATGTTACCCAGTTACATGTCGATTGACGAAAAGAAAAGTTTGAATGATTGTTTTGGTTTCAGAGCTGTGGCTGCCTACCTGAGAGCCCTGAGTCTGAGTCCCAACCATGCTGTTGTCCATGGCAACCTGGCCTGTGTCTACTATGAGCAAGGCCTCATTGACCTCGCCATCGACACCTACCGCCGTGCTATTGAATTGCAGCCCCACTTCCCTGATGCCTACTGCAATTTGGCCAATGCCCTGAAGGAGAAAGGCAACGTAATGTGCACTTCTTTGTTGTACCAGATTTGAAATAGTTTTAATCCTCTTTGGTCAGCTTTTTATAAATTCGACTTGCGTGTCACAACCAGGTATCCGAAGCGGAGGAGTGCTACAACACAGCTTTGCGTTTGTGTCCGACTCACGCCGACTCTCTTAACAACTTGGCCAACATAAAGCGTGAGCAAGGCAACATCGAAGAAGCTGTTCAGCTTTACAGAAAAGCCTTAGAAGTAAGTTAATTCTAGGGTTGGGCATCGTTTAGTTTGAGCGATTCAGATTCCTCGTGTTGATATCCATTCTTTATCCCGATTCATTTAAGAGGAAGGAGCCTATAGTTTACATGGTGGTCAGCTGTGAAACCAGACTGTCGTTTAGAAGAAAGAGTCTGAACCTCAATTAAATTTAATTCCTTGATAATCTAACTTTGTGTGAATTTAACTATACATTTTTATAATTATTTTCAAGCCGTATATAAAAAATAAATTCTATAAACTAAAAAAATCATATAAACTTAGTCACAAAGTTACATTTTCACATAAAGCTTTCTGTTTGAAAACATAATAAAACACATTTAACATTGTCGGACACCTCAGGTACTTCTGTCTTACGAGACAACTTTATTTTATTTGCCTCATCCTGGCTGTGATGCGGCATTAGGCTGAGCGTTTGAGCTCGTCTCAGCTCTACTCAACTTGATCTGAAAGTAATGAACGAGGAATTATCACATTTCATACGCCACCGTTCAGTAAATGGGTTTTATCATATGAAACGGACCCCAGATTAACAGATGGAAACGACTAATGAAGTTAAGCTTATAAATCTGTCAGATTTAATGTGCTTTTCATTCTATCCAGAATGTGTAGGAAACAAAGCAGGTATCTGTTAGGATGTAAATAGGAAGAAAATGTAAACAAGGCTCAGCTCTTCCTGCGGAATGCGCAGATAGCCTCAGATAGCCTTCCTTATTACAGCAGCCGTGCAGCAGTTCAAAGACGAGTTCAGCGTTGTTTAATCATGTCTGCTGTGCACCGTCCTTTCATACCATCATCCCTATCACCAGAAAGTCGTCTGATCATTTCTTTAATAAACCTTAAGCTACATTTTTTTATTTTGAAGCACAAAAGGGTGATTGGACACACTTGTGTCAGGCAACTTCTATGTCCGGTCGATGGACTGCGCATCAAAATAAGGAATAGAAAATAAATGTCAATGTTTCAGAAGAATTTATACATTATAACTGGTTCTGATCGATTCTCGCTGCCCCACCCTAGTTATTTAAAAGCGTTCTTTAATTTGATCTGGTTTTAAGGGAATGTGAGCACAGTAACTGAATGTTTTCTATTTGTCCTTCAGGTGTTCCCAGAGTTTGCTGCAGCCCACTCTAATCTGGCCAGTGTCCTGCAACAGCAAGGCAAACTCCAGGAGGCCCTCATGCATTACAAGGAAGCTATAAGGTTTGTGCTTATTATGAACTCCAGGCATATTTTCAGTCTATCTTCTGTCTGTGTAACTGCAGAAGCATATTGTCATAGTTTAAGTTGATCAAATGCACTAAAACTTTTGCTTTGATTTTAGGATCAGCCCCACATTTGCTGATGCCTATTCCAACATGGGCAATACGCTGAAGGAGATGCAGGATGTCCAGGGAGCTCTGCAGTGCTATACTCGTGCCATCCAGATCAACCCAGCCTTTGCTGATGCTCACAGCAACTTGGCTTCTATCCACAAGGTGGGGCTGTTCTCAAAGTTTCTCCTTGGCTGTAAAAGTGTGCAAAAACGGCTTTAGATGATGAATTTAAGACTTGGATTTTTCTTTAAGATCGACTTTGAGAACGTTATTCCTGCTATGCAGCTTTTAAATGACGCTCTGAATTTGTTCCTTAGGATTCTGGAAACATCCCAGAGGCCATTGCATCTTATCGCACAGCCCTTAAACTCAAGCCAGACTTCCCTGATGCTTACTGCAACTTGGCTCATTGCCTGCAGGTTTGAATAATCTTGTTTATCTTCAGATCTAGTTCACTAATTAGTGTTTAGAAAGCTATAAATGTGAAAATTCTGTTTTTCCCTCTCTCTTCCAGATTGTATGTGACTGGACAGATTACGATGAGCGGATGAAGAAACTTGTTAGCATCGTGGCCGACCAGCTTGACAAGAACCGCTTGCCCTCGGTGCACCCCCACCACAGCATGCTGTATCCGCTGTCTCACAGCTTCCGGAAGGCCATAGCCGAGCGCCATGGAAACCTTTGCCTGGATAAGGTACTCGCAATGATCAAAGCAAGTAACGTTTAAACTATATTTTTGGGTGCGTGGTGATGGAGGGGTCTGGATGTTGGGATATGGGGAAGGTAAGAGATCAGTTGGCTATTAAGGAGCAGCAGAGCTGGTGGTGGAGTGGTTGCTTGCTATGGTGGATGATTTGAAAGGAGGGTGGGGAGTTTTGATTTAAAAAAAAATAATAATATTAATATATTTGACTTGATCAATGTCTGATCTTGTTGTCTAACATTGTTATTTATTTCACAGATTAATGCGCTCCACAAACCTGCTTTTGAGCATCCTAAGGACTTGAAGAGCAGCGGCGGTCGCCTGCGCGTCGGATATGTCAGCTCTGACTTTGGCAACCACCCCACCTCCCATCTGATGCAGTCCATCCCTGGAATGCACAATCCTGAAAAGTTTGAGGTTAATATTTATCCATCTATTTATTTTTATTTTTAATGGATAAAGTTGCCTAAAATATGTTTGTAATTTTGTTCCCAAGGTTTTCTGCTACGCTCTTAGCCCTGATGATAACACTAACTTCCGTGTGAAAGTGGTTGCAGAAGCTCATCACTTCACAGACCTTTCCCAGGTAACTTTTGGAGTTGAATACTTAAAGCTTTTGGTCCAGTTGTATTAGATAAAATTGAGTATAGAAAAATATTTTGAATGTCAGACACTATTTGGTTTTTGATTAACCCATGGTTTAAAGTTCGTATCAGTCTATACATTTGTTAGTCTTTCTACAAGCACCATTCTATCCATCAATATCAAAAGGCTCTTCCTGAAAAAGAAATTAAAGGTTAACTCTTCTATTCATTTTAGATAAATTAGCCGTTTTGTTTTTTTATTGTGAAAAGGCACTACTTAGTAGACCTGTGTAATCTGTAGACCCACAATGATATCAAATTCTTTTGTTTTTCTTCTAAAAATGTGCATGTTTATTTATTTTTTTGCTTAGATTCCTTGCAACGGAAAGGCAGCTGATCGTATTCAGCAGGATGGAATTCACATTCTGGTCAACATGAACGGATACACCAAGGGAGCTCGGAATGAGCTGTTTGCCCTCCGCCCCGCCCCTATTCAGGTCAGTTTCTGACCGTTGATACAGAGGGGGAGATACTTTAATACAGTTGAGTTAGTTGTGGCTGTGGCCTAAGTTCAATCAGCTGTTTCGTATTATTTTACCAGGCTATGTGGCTTGGTTACCCTGGAACCAGTGGAGCTCCTTTCATGGACTACATCATCACTGACAAGGAGACGTCTCCCGTCGAAGTAGCTGAACAGTACTCTGAGAAACTGGCCTACATGCCTAACACTTTCTTCATTGGAGATCATGCCAACATGTTCCCTCATCTTAAGGTTTGTCCAGCAAGATTGTTGGCAGAATTGATCTATTTTGTTACATAGAAACGGTTGTAACACTTGTTTAACCTGCAGAAAAAAGCCGTGATTGACTTCAAATCCAACGGACACATCTTCGACAACCGGATTGTTCTGAACGGCATTGATCTGAAAGCGTTCTTAGACAGCCTGCCAGATGTCAAAGTGATAAAGGTGTGTTTAAAAAAAAGAAAAAATAACCAAACCAGTTTATGAGAATTAAAAGCAAGTATTTGGGTCAAAACATAAGATGAGCAACTCCTCATTCTTGATCCTTAATAGTAGCATCATTAGTTTTCTGTTTTAGCATTCAAGGATTTGAAGTTGAAACTTTTCATTTGTGACCAGATGAAGTGTGACAACAACCAGGAGCCTACTGCTGGAGACACAAACGGAGCTCTATCCATGCCGGTTATTCCCATGAACACAGCAGCAGAGGCAATCATCAACATGATCAATCAAGGCCAAATCCAGGTCACAATCAACAACTTCACAGTCAGCAACGGCTTGGCCACCACACAGGTACCACCTGAACAAATGTCTGTTTTGAGTGGTTTAGGATCAAATCTAAAGAGACATTTGTCATTGAAGATGCTTGTTTTATGGAGATGCAGTGATTTAATTAATCATCTCAACTGGAAAGCTATAAGCAAAAGTATCAAGACAGCACTGTTTTATTCCCAATTTTAGATCAATAACAAAGCTGCAACTGGGGAGGAGGTGCTGCGGACCATCGTAGTGACGACCCGCTCCCAGTACGGTCTCCCTGAAGACTCGATCGTCTACTGTAACTTCAACCAGCTCTACAAGATCGATCCTCCAACCCTTCAGATGTGGGCTAATGTAAGTTGAATACATATTATCCCAACAGTTCTGTTACCTCTTGTATTCTTAGTTTTTTATTCTCCCATTTTGCTGCAGATATTGAAACGTGTGCCCAACAGCGTGTTGTGGCTCCTTCGCTTCCCTGCTGTCGGTGAGCCGAACATCCAGCAGTACGCCCAAAACATGGGTCTGCCTGGGTCTCGCATCATTTTCTCCCCCGTGGCTCCTAAGGAGGAGCATGTGAGAAGAGGCCAGCTGGCTGACGTGTGCCTCGACACTCCTCTGTGCAACGGTCACACCACAGGCATGGATGTTCTCTGGGCTGGAACGCCCATGGTCACAATGCCAGGTGAGATGGCTTAGCCATCATCTTGGTTTAAACAGTTAAAGTATTTTTGCTTTGATTATAACGTCTTAAATCTTTTAGGTGAGACTCTGGCCTCCCGTGTGGCTGCTTCACAACTGAATTGTCTTGGCTGCCCAGAGCTGATTGCTCAGACTCGTCAGGAATATGAAGACATAGCAGTCAAATTGGGATCCGACATGGAATAGTACGTAAACGTTTATCTGAACCCAAGTTAAAAGGAAATAAAGTTTTCCAGTACATCTAATATTTGTCTTTACCTCCTGCAGCCTAAAGATGATCAGAGCACGTGTTTGGAAACAGCGAATCTGCAGCCCCCTGTTCAACACCAAGCAGTACACGATAGACCTGGAAAGGCTCTATCTGCAAATGTGGGAACATCACAGCAGCGGAAACAAGCCAGATCACTTGGTCAAACTCCAAACAGTGGAGACCAGTGAAAACGCCTGAACTTGAAACATGTTAGCTACGATTTTAACCCTGATCAGCAGCGCCGTTTGAACGGTCGGGTTCACTCAAACTCCCTGTTCTTCAGTGACTGTTTCAATTTCTCTCATTTACTCTAATTGGGGACTCTTGGTTTGAAGGAGCCCACAAATGTTCACACTTGGACTCCCATTATGCTTGTCGTCGAGTCACATGGTGAGCCAGAGCCTGAGATATTTTCCGGCGACTTGTCTGAGACTCTTGCACTGAAACACTTGGTGTAATTTGTGAGCATGAGAAGGTTGTGAATACCTTGCTTTTCCCTTCAGTACCTTGGACAGTGGATTTCCCTTTGAATCCTGTTGTCATTTAAACGGGACTAAATGCAGCTTGTGGAGAGGAAGCCCATCTATCTTTACTGGGTCTGTTTAGAACTGAATTAAATGTTAAACGTTTTTAAAATGACAATGTTGCACCATTGAAATTGTTTCATCAGCTTTATCAAGCCAGTATGAGACAAATTTGTGTGAGCTGCTCTTAAATGGCCACAAGAAGTAAATGTGTACGTTTTGAAAAAGTTTCTCCCACAAAAAATGCCAACTTTTTATTTTGTCAAAAGATTTTGTTTAGTAGGTGTCGTCTTTTTGATGTCAAACTGAACTGCTTATAATTGGACAAAAGCAATTTTTGGAACATGTTTGAACTTCAGTTAAAACATCAAAATATCTTATTGGATTGTTTTTTTTTGTTTTGTTTTTTTAAACAAGCCTGAAATTGGTAAGTATTTTCTAAACAGTTCTGTTTTGTATTGTTTAACTGTATGCTGTTGGTGAAGCTGCAAGTCTCTACATATAATAAAAAAAAGAGATTGAAACCAAATTGTTTTGCTCCGAGTTGTTTTTTGACATTAAAGCTACAGTGTGTAATAATTACAGGGATATACAGTCAGAAATGTAATATATTATACATAACTATGTTATTTATCATCATCTACAAGCTCAGCCTCTTAACCTTAATATTTGCGTTGCCTTAGAATTCGTATTTTATAATTACATTGGAGCGGGTCTCGCAGCCATGGAGGCAGACATCTTTGCGCTACGGCAGCGCAGAGCCAACAAACTAGCGATTGCGAGATCGCCAAAACGTCACAACGATGTAGAAAAAATAACGGGTATATTTATTATCTTAAGTCTACATGAAATCTATACCCTACACAGACTAATGAAATACTATCTGTAAAATGATCTATGTAAACAAACCTCATCACTTGAGAAGGTAGGTGATGCGGACGTCGTGGAAGACATTTTGTCCCGTAACGCTCGCCGTACTGTTGGGGGGGAGATGTTCATGTTGCTGCAGTCTGCCCGCTAGATGTCGCTAAAAGTTACACACTGTAGCTTTAAGATCAGAAACAAGGTTTTGACAATGCATGGAAGATTTTGTTAGAGGATCAACAATGAGATGAAAGAAGTATAAATGCATAAAACTGAAAATATTTTTTCATTATAGTTAAGTTCTACCAAAGTTCTAAGTTTTACCAAACGGCATTAATAAAATCTAAGAGCACAAAAGACCAGTATGGGGATAACATTTTGAAATTTTTAAAAATCAGAATGAAGTTATGAAGCTGTTTTAAACTTGAAAACGTCTACGATCACTCCTCCATCCAGCTGTAAACCTGTAAAGAAATAAACGGCTGCCCAAACAGAAAATTTACAAGAGATGCAGAGAGGAAAAAGGTGTGAAGGACCTGCAGGGCAACAAATCCGTAGAATCCAAGCTTAATGGAATTTAGTAGAATTATCCCATATTGTCCCCTTGTTTGGAAATTAAGATGGTGGCAGCAAAGCAGTTATAGCTGCACGACGTTCCTATAATATACAAGTTTTATTATGGGTTTCCTCTCAGGTCAACATCTTGACTAATACTCTTAATACTCTTAGAACTTGGAGAGCAGTATCACAGAGTATTGATGCTTCATATTTAATATGAATAAAGGCGTTTTAATGAAAGGTAATATAGTTATTAAACTGGCAGTGTGGTGACCAGAGCATTTGAGTGACAGCTGCTGGAGAGGAGCATTTGAATGCAGGGGGAAGGTTCCTTTTTTACAAAATAGTGTTATTGCAATTTTATTACCTTATTTTGGTAGATTTAATATGACTTATATTTTTTCCCTTTTTAATTATGAAAAAATAAATGTAACTGGTAAATCAAGTGTGTTTCAGCAGGCCTGCAATACATTGAATTTAAAGCAGGCTGTACCATACCTTTAGTAGACCAATATTGCAGGTCCTTTGACATTTATTAGAAGCAATGTCCTCTTTTGTTCCGTTTCTAGATCTGAAATGTTAATTCTGACTATGAAAAAATGCATTGCAGACATCTGGATTACATGTTCGGTCAAGCTAATAAATGACAAAACGGCCTGCCGTAATTTCCGCACTCTAAGACCGTTGACCCGATGACGTATTGTTTGAAAGCTGCTCTGATTGGTCTATCTTCCTGAAAACTTCTGACGTGGTGTATGTGCACTGTTTGAATTTACTATACCGGTGATTGCCTTCCCGACACTTCCGTCTTATCGCAGTAATTCTTTGGTAAATAGTATTTATATTATAGCGGTTTTATCTGGTGTCTGTCGTCTTGAATGAACAGTAGATTTGGGGTAAAAAAAAAATTTTTTAGTTTAGCTTTAGCATTATCAGTACTAGTAAGCCGCTGGTTGCTAACGGTAATGCTAACCCTTTATTTCCCCAAATGTGTCGCTGCGGGGTTTACAGATGCATAACAATTCGCTTATTTTGTCAGGGTTAGGATTATTTTTATTCGGTCGTATGCTATAAATCCCATATTAAATCTCGTACCTTTCTCTGGGGAGTGAATGAAATTAACGATAATATCTCATTTGAAAGAGTTACTACCAAGATGAGCTGGATGGATGAGGGACTGGAGTCAACGGAAAAAAAGGTTCCCATTTAAACATGGCGGTCATGACACAGACGGGCTTTTGATGCAGAGAGCGGTGTGATCCATCTAACAGGGACATTTGTTTCTTTGTAGTCAATGAGGATGATTTGCAAGACCCGTCATGCTGGGACAAGTGGATCAGGAAGAGGCTTCACTAAAGAAGCTCTGAGCGAGTCCAGCGATGAAGAGTTTGATAAGTGTGAGTGATTTATGTGACTCTGGAAGAAACACAGTCTCATTGGAATCTGCCTTTTTTGTTCACCGAATTTTAAACACAGATATTCTTTTCTACACATTGAATTCCTCACACTGAATTTTATGGAAGAGGATTAGGGCCACTGAAAAAATATATATATATTTTAGTTTAATATGGGGGGAAAAGTAAGAATTATGGGTCCAATCTTAAATTTCTCACTGCTTTTATAAGAATTCAGAATTCTGACTTTTTTTTTTTCTCAGAATCCTGACATTTTTTCCTAAGAATTATGACTTAAATCTCAGAATTCTTACTTTTTTCCTCAGAATTCTAAATTTGTTTCCTCAGAATTCTGAAAACGTTTTTCCCTTAAGAATTCTGAAATTTTTTCCCTTAAGAATTCTGAAATTTTTTCCCTCAGAATTCTGAATTTTTTTCCCTCAGAATTCTGAAATTTTTTCCCTCAGAATTCTGACTTTTTTCCCCTAAGAATTTTGAATTTTTTTCCCTTAAAGGAATAGTACACCCAAAAAATGATTAGCCTTCATTTTCTACTCACCCCCATGCTGAACAACACTCTGGAGTACTTTTTTGATATCTCAAATGCATCTGGAGATCTGGGAGGCTTCTTGCTGTCTGCTGACATTCAAATAATGGAGGTCTATGGTGTCCGAGACAGAAAGGTCTATAAAAGTCCACAAAAAACGTGTCAATATTCCTCCATACTGCTCGTCCAATGTATTCCAAGTGTCCTGAGTGGGTAGCATCCAGAATTTACTCGAAACGAAGTCATTTAGAATGTTTTTAGAGCATAAACAGTAGTGTATAGGATTTCCCGACAGCACGCACATGCGCGCTCACGACGCTACGGAAGCCGGCAGACCAAACCAGCGCATTCAGCTCGGCAAAGAACTCATGCTCTTCCTCAACACTGAAGTCCTCAGACATTTTTCTTTCGTTGTTTCTTTCTTTGCACAGGTAAACAGCACATTTCTTCTTCTACGCTTGCATTATCGGCAGAGCAGACGCTGAATGCCTACTTTCATCTGGTTTGGTCTGCCGGCTTCCGTAGCGTCATGAACGCGCTGGCGCGCGCTTTCAGGAAATCCTATACACTACTGTTTATGCTCTAAAAACATTCTAAATTACTTCGTTTCGAGTAAATTCTGGATTCTACCCACTCAGGACACTTGGAATACATTGGACGAGCAGTATGGAGGAATATTGACACGTTTTTTGTGGACTTTTATGGACCTTTCTGCCTCGGGCACCATAGACCTCCATTATTTGAATGTCAGCAGACAGCAAGAAGCCTCCCAGATCTCCAGATGCATTTGAGATATCAAAAAAGTACTCCAGAGTGTTGTTCAGCATGGGGGTGAGTAGAAAATGAAGGCTAATCATGTTTTGGGTGTACTATTCCTTTAAGAACTTTTTCCCTCAAAAATCTGACCTTTTTTCCTTCAGAATTCTGACCTTTTTTCCCCCTCAGAATTCGGACTTTTTTTCCCCCCTCAGAATTCTGACTTTTTTTCCCCCCTCAGATTTCTGACTTTTTGTCCCCCTCAGAATTCTGACTTTTCTCAGAATTGTGGATCTTAATGTAGATGGGCACCATGAAGAAAGGAAATGTGGGAGCACTCAGCTTCACTGACAAAGATGATAGTTGTTTGAGAGGGCCAGTAACACATTGGTGGAAAATGATGGAATTAGGCTTGTTTAGGAGATAGTTTAGTCTCGATAACGGACATTGGTTACGGTTTGATGCTAATATATTTTTTAGCTGTCAGAATTCAGTCAGAATTTTCTGATATTATACCTAAAAGAAATTTAAAAATCAGTTAACTTTTTTAATTTTTTCAGTGGCCCTAATCCTCTTCCATAGAATTTATATCTGGTAAGAATTTAGCAGTAAAAAGTTCAGAATCAGAATCGGCTGCAAAAAAATTTAATTGTGTCATCAGTGTTTAAAATTCGATGTAAAAAAAAAAAGGCAGATTTCAATGAGACTGTTTTACTTCCATATGACACATTTGATTAAAATCTGGTTTTCTTTATAATATATTGTCTTTTATTTTAGTTCTTGTGGAAAACTTCACACCCAAAGCAAAAACCAGAGCCCCGAACCCTCGCAGTGCTGCTAAGACAGACAAGTATGGCAAACAATCAACGAGTCTTTAGTTATTTTTTTTAATCTATGTTTAAACTGTGACACTTTTTTTGTTGTTTCAGCTCAAATGCGCTCGTGGTAAGCTCAGATGATGAAGACAATTTTGAGGACTGTAAGTTCATTGTTAATTTAAATGTGCAGAAAGTTGGCTGTAAGGTTAAATCATGCTCTCCCATTTCTCTTATAGTTTTGCAGCGAGTTAAAACCCCTGCAGCCAAAGCGCAGAAAATATCTGAAAGCAGCAGTGAAGACAGGCCAGTTTAATCTTTAATACTTCTGTTTAAAACATTCCTTTATAATGGCACAAATTTTGATTTCCTCTCTTTTTTTTCTAACAGCCTGAAAAACTTCATTGTGAACGATTTCTCATCTGATGAAGACTTTATTGAAACAAAGTCATCCATTAGAGGTAAATTATATTCAATCTTTGTTTGTACGCACAGTGGCATTAAAAAGTAGCTGCACCCAGTTAAGTTTACTAAACAACTTTCTGCTTTCATTTGGATCAGACTGAAAGAGAATCGATGC